GGAAGTCGGGGGGGGGGGAGGGAATCGCATACGCATTTTTGTTTGTGTATGCAATCAGTCGATGATTAGATAGAATAAGCGCAGAACAATGTATTGAATAATAAATTATGCATTATATTGTGAAATTAATTGTGTTGGTAACTTCTATATTGACTTTGTAAATGACGCAGTACTTCGTTCGACGTGTACCATGTGTATCGCATATGTTTGAAACACGGTATAAGTATTTCGATCATTTTTTTTTGCTAACGAAAAAGTGTAATGCTACGATATAATGCTTAGGAAGAAAACCGGAAGATTCTATGGGAGGTTAAAGACTATCTGAATCACGCTCTCCGCTCGCATTCGTCATCCGACGCGAAGAGAAAAAAGAGATATGAAATGAGGAGTCAAACGACTCCTCGGTCTTGTCTCGTATATATGTGTATAATTAAGCATATGTATATACGCGCGCGTATATATGTATTTGACAGTACATATATGCATAATACACACACACACACACACACATACACACGTACACGCACCTGTATCACGCATATGTAATATCGCCAATGGGAAACAGCTAATTTCAACGAGTTAATCTCTAATTACATGTGAAGTGGATAAACGTTTTCCTGTTATCGCGTTGATATTTCTCGATGTATAATCGATATCTTTACAAGAAGACTGTCGTCCGTAATCGCCGGGAAGAAAAAGGGAAACGTTGTTCGGTTGCTAGGAAGGAAGAGAGAAAGTAAAAAAGAAATGAGAATGAGACGGACGCGGGATCGAAGAGACGATGAGCAGTGACAGCATCCGAAACGGGCAGCTCTTTTCACCCATCTTATTTTCTTCCTCCTCTTCCTCTTGTCGAACAGGAACGTGAAGCGTGCGCGGTATTGAAACCTCGCAATTTATTGCCACTTATTGCGATGGACGCGGAACGCAGAAATCAAATATGTGCTCCAGAACAGAAGCACCTTACGATTTGCGACTTGAGTCTGTTACAAATGAGATCTTTTAAAATCGAAGCGAGATAAAAAATAAGATACAGGCGACAAGGAATTGGATGTATCTTACAATGTGAAGAACTAGTTGTCTAGTATTTTCGCGATCATCGCGATGTATTGAAAATATGTCGTGCGATCTTTATTCTTCTACTTGTTTCTCGTCGTCTGAATCTTGATTTTATGTTTCATTCTACCACTGTCGAGACTCGAAGTCGAAGAGCAAACGACGAAACAACGTAGACGGATATTGCCCATCGATCCTATTTCTTTCCCGAAAAGTCCTCTGTGAATGTTCAACGAGGGCTGGCTGGGCGAGATTGGGCGTGTGTATGTGCGTGCGTGTGTACTAAAAAAAATGGCAAGTTGCGAAGGCCATCACGATGCATCGGAGGGTAGTGCCGACCTCGATCTCGCACAGCGGGCACTCCTCGAACGTAATATCCTCTTTGCATCCTTTCTCCTCTCAAAATCCTCCTCAAGGCTTCTGTTTCTCCTCCGAATACACCGTTCCGCCTTTCGCCCCTTTCTCTCGATCTACTCTTTAAGAATATTTTCTCCAATTTAACTCTATCCATATCCCAACCGTCCGACTCCCAATTCAATAAATCGAGCGTTAACATCTTGTGTTCTTTTCATTTTCTAGAAATTATGAATTTTCCAAAATAAACGTTATGTTTTTTTAATAACTCTGGCAGTAACTTTACTCGGTCGGGAGAGACATCATCATCTACATCATCATCAGCGTCTAATTGTTATCATCTTGTCGTCATCATCTTCGTCATCGATATCATCACATCATCATCATCATCATCATCAGCATCATATCATCATTATTCAACAGCTTCTTAACACAATTTCTTCGATCCACCATCCGGGTCTCCTTCTTTTTCTTAATCGATCATTTCGAATTACATGTGCTTTGAGAGCAATCCGTATGTAGGGCAAATACGTTGGCGATCGCGAGGGAAGCAGCGACGGCGTGCCTCTCATTCTGTAACGACGAGTTCGGTCACGCGAAATTACAAGGCTTATCCTTTCATATCCTCATCCCGTTCTTCTTCATGCGAAAAGCCATATCCATCCATCAATCCATCTATCGGTTTATCCGCTCACGTGAAACTTTTTCTCCAACCATCCATTTTCTCCATCTTTTCTTCCCCTTTCTCCCTCCTATTCTACCCTTCTTCCCCGTCCCAAATTACGTTGTTCTATTTGTATTTATCATCAGCCCATCGTAATTGTAAATTATAATTATTATAAACGTTTACACGAAATAATAAATTCTGATAAAATGTCTGAGAAAAAAAACCATAACCCACGGTTTGTGTCTTGCTTTGCGACGATATTACGACGATTTGCCAACGTGCCGGCGGAGGCATTTGCGCTCGATGATGTTCCACGATGTCGGGACAAAAGCCAAGCTTACATAACATGCGGACTTCGTCGCGAGTCGTTCTAAAGGATTCCTGCAATCGCTTATCAACAAGATGGATTGGATCGGAATGACTATCTCCTTGAATTCGGAATCCACGATTCGCGACACTTTGAAGCGGTGACTCAGCATTTCACGCTTACTAGGAGCTCATAATCCGCGAATAATCAAATAATCCGAGTAAATGTTGGAAAGACATAACGTCTCGAGAATATCATTTTATAACATGATTACTCATCGAAACTTGTATATTGGAGGTCAGCGTTATCACGCTCGCTACGTGCATTTCCTAGAAGCGTATGCGTATATTTAATCTTGCATCACAAAATCTTACAAATTTATGTCGATTCCACAAAATTATTTTATACAATCAATATTCTGCCGCTTTTTTTTTTATTAGTCATGATTTATCAATCGACAAACAGGATTTTTTTCGCGGCAGCTCGGGCGATGACAGAAATTGCAGTTGTAACGCTAGCCGCGAACAAAAAGCGAGAAAGAGAGAAGGAGAAAGTAGAATCTGACGAGAGAATATCTGCGTAAAGATACGATGTATCTCATTCGGCACAGTCGAAGTCTAGCAATATCGAGAGATGAAGAACACGCAGGAGAGTTACGGAGATTTTTTTCATGTACTTAAAACGCGCAAACGAATATTTATTATTATGATTGTTGTTACGAGTATCATTGTGCTAGATGTATATTCCCTACCCTTTCACAATCCCCCTTGCTCTATTCTATTCTGCCCTCCTCTGCCCGCTCTTCCCCTTTTTTCTGTCGATGGTGTATCTACACATGTACTTGTATACACAATTTATGCAGTATGTATACATATATACAGACATATATTATATATATTATATACACACACACACACACACACACACACACACACACGCACACACACACACATACTTATGAAAGGAGACATAGGGAGACATAAAAATATGACGCGAGATACATACATGTATATGTACGCGTGCCTTTTCCGACAAGAAAGGCCTACCTACGATTAATCATGCTAAATTTTTTGCACAATTTATACGTGTAGCCGATACGAAGTACGAGATACGGTTTTTGCTAATGAGAGAGTAGCGAACCAACCACTTAACGCGAGTGACAGGGCGCGAAGTGTCTCGCGCGCGCGCGCGCGCGCGCGGTGGCGAAGAGGAAATAACTTGCGGATAAAGAGGAGGGGAAAAAAAAAACAGAAAAAGAAAAAATTCCAAATTGCGCGCGGCCGCTCCACGCAGTCGCTTTGTCGCGAGACTAGATAGACGTATAGATCCAGACGAATCTCAACCCGGTGGGTCGACGATCCCAGAATTCGGCACTGAAGACTGAAAAATCTCGGAGCGAGAGGCACCCCCTCTCTCGTCGCGTCCAGGACGGGGTTGAGAGTCTCCACGTTAGGTGTAGAATATCATTTTCGTGCGGTAGACGAGCCTCTCCCGCGGTAGACATTCCTAGGGACACACCGGGGCGGCAAAACCCGAAGGGGTTGCTACTTCAATCTCCGAATGATTTCGACTTCGATCAAATCCGAAACTAAGGATCTTTTTTCTTTCTTCTCTTACTCGCGCAATTACAGAAACGTCCTTAGCTTTATATTCATTTTTACCAATGTAAATCAATTTAACTTTTTATCTGTTTTTAATTCTAAGAATTAGAAAAAGATAATAAATTAAACACGATTCAAATTGGTCTATCATAAGAATCGATCGACGAGGAAGAGAAAATTTGATACAATTTTCATTTGCACGGATATATGAAAACTTACACACATCTTTAACAAAGCTATTTGTACTCAATGACTCTCAACAGACATGTTCACATTTGTACAAGTTCATTCATAGGAATTTTTTTTTACATCAGATTGCGCTGTGTCGTGCATGGTGTTTTGATGGATTGCGTCAGATTTCACGTTTGACGCAATATTGCATCAATTCGCCTCTCATCGAGCAAGCGCAAAGAGAGAGAGACAAGAGAGATCCTTTTCCGTATCGAGTTAAATTTCTCGATCGCTCGACTGTTCCGTACGATCTGTCGATGAGGAGATCTTTTTTCTCGTAATCTTTCGATCGAGGACGCAGCCCTCGATTTTGTCGCCGCGCGAAATCATGCTAGAACGAAGATTTTTCCTCGGTTTTGCTCTTCTACAATTGTAGCCTGTTTTTAGCTGTCGTTCCCCGAAACCTCATCCCCTCACCCGCTCCCCCGCCCCTCCTTCATATAGATCAATGCCGTTTAAATCGAATATAATACACGTTAAATGGATTAACAAAGAAGCAAGATGACGCTGATATTTGGCGGGGTGGTGTTTGTAAATAAAGCTGTAAAAGCGACGAAATCGGCGCAATCATTTCACCCACAATCAATCGCCGCATCGTCAAACGCGAGGACAATTTACCTCCGTAAGTTTCCGATTATTTGTGATGCACTGAAGCATGCAAACTTCGAAATTGTTCGAACGCAAACGACGAAAAATAAGTGTCTTACATATCCGATGCTAATGTTTGCCGCATTTTTACAAAATGAAATCAAGTATTTTATCGTTCGCAATGCTCGTAATTAAATGTTTTTAGATACAGCAAGATTTAGATCAAATCGATTTAGATCAAATCTTTTACCACCGGAAGTGCCAAGTTTTTGTTCATTTCTATTTTTATTTTTTAAATTGATATGATTTTTTAACTTTTCATCTATTACTTTTTTTATATTTATAAAATGCGAATATATATGCAGAATGTATATGCAGAAAATATTAAAATCTCATTTTTGATACCAGAAATATTAATTTAAATAAATGAAAATGATCAGGAATGATTGCTTGGTATTTCTAGCATTAAAAATAGCATTTTTTTTTAAATTAAAAAACAATCATATAGAGAAAATTTCATGTTTTTTTTTTTCCAAATTATTTGATATTTCAAAGATGCACGGAGTATAATAGAATAGAAATTGGAGTATCAAAGTTAAATTTGACAAATCAATGGCTTTCTCATAATGATTTGTAATCAAAATGTAACATGCAAATTGGAACATGCAATATTTGCAGCGTCTCGATTGCGAGTAATCTCGCAGATTCTGAGGAAGACAAACATTGTTGCGCTTTTGTAAATAACGCAGGTCTTTGTACCTGCTATAGACTTTGCTCCGTAAAATCACACATGAGAGACTCGCTTCTCATCGCATCGTTGCATCACGTCGTTCGCAGTCGATCGTTACGGTTCGTCCTGGAAGGAACGCGTGTATTTAAGCTCCACCGTACGTTCCTCTCGTCACGTAGAAGCCGAATTCTTCGAAGAGAAACTTCGACGATCGAAGTGGCGTCCTACGCGAATAATCGATAAAATTATAAATTTATTCGCGAGAGTTATATTATTTTTAATAATGACAGTGAAAATGCGATTGTTTTTAAGATTTGCATGAATGGACATATTTTAATTGTTCTTTCGAATCGAATCGTTCCAATTTTCCAGTTTTCGATGTTACTTCGCTCTAATTTGCGAAAATGGATTGTTATCAGCATCATCAGGTAGGTTTGTTATCTCTTTCTTTAATAAATAACAGAGTGAAAAGGATACTAATGTATATAGTAGAGACAGATTTATTTTATCATGTGAAGTCATTTGCTTTTCTTATCTTTTATTCCGTTTTAATCAATTTTCATAATATTCAGCGGTTAAATTTATCGTTTGCATCTTATTTTGATATCACTATTATAATAAATACAATTACAATAAACATTTTAAACAAAATATACCAATATTAAAGTAGAAATATAACTAGCAATAAATATCGATTCTTCTCCCATTATTTTCGCGAAATTTTTATATAATTCGAAACTCTTCAATTATAAGTTCTTTCGAATGATTCAAAAATCGTAATTATTCCCACAATAATTTCTTATCGAAAACCTAAAAAATAAGACCTAAAAAATAAAATTCTCCTTTTTTATTTTGGTAAATTGGAGTTTTTATCTTGATAATTTTATCTTAGAAGCAAACCTATTTTCTAATCAGAAGGATCCAAGAAAATTCAAACAAAAAAAAAAAAAAGAACCTATTGTTTCGAAAATGTTCGCGTGGGTAAAGTCGCCTCGCTTCGCGGCTTACTTCAGATCGTTTTGTATTTCGAATCTTCCACCTCGCGTGCGATTCGCTCGCGATTATTCGAACGCGGCGATTGGTCTGAACGACGGCGGCAGCGGTGGCGGTGGGGGTGGCGCGCAAGCCAGCCCAAAGGTCACCTTCAGTCGGCCGGACGTGGCCGTGGCGGTAGATGTGTGTTGGAGGGACGTCGGCAACGGAGGAACGTCGTCGTCGTCGTCAGTCGCGTTTCTCTGGTGAGTCGAACCGTCGAGGAAACGCGAGCATTAATCGTCGATTTTCGAACGTGCGGTGCACCGACGCTCGTCGCCGTCGTCGTCCTCGTCCTCGTTCTCGTCGTCGCGACGCCTGACACCTGCACGCGACTGTCAATTGATCGGCCAAAACGCGGTCTCGTCGACTCGCTTCGAAACTGCTTCGAGTCACGTCCGAGTGTGATTTCTTTTCCATCAAACCGTCAAAAGTTTGCGAATGACATTTATTTGCTAGCTGATCTCTTCTTAGGTGGCCGAAGACGCTTTTAGGTTAACCTCTCGTTAGGCAGGCAAGTAGGCAGACACGATTACTCGCTGCGGAAAAACGATGGCTTTCACGTGACGCTCATAAATAGCACGGATGCTATTCTTATTAGTTAATACAGGCGAAAAACAATTTGACAAACAACAGCATAAAGGAAATACAGAATTGTCGTGCGGATCGTAGTTAAGCGTCCAGTGATCTATCCTTGATACTCTAATAAGAAGGTTAATGAAAATCTAATTTTCATCGCAGCATCTGTTTATATCCGTCGCAAGCCTGTGTGTATCTCGCGATGACACAATTGCATTGTCCACGCGATATGCACGGCTTATCAGTCGTCGCGTGTTGTAGAGTGGAAACTTGTAAACGAAAGATCGGAGTGAGAGAGATTTGTTCCAAATTCCACGATCCTACATTTTTTTCCACGGGAGATTGTGAGCTTTATTTTATCTATCTTTTCTCTCTCTCTCTC